AAATTTCGGTTCGATTTCGGTTCGGTTCAAAGAGTAAGCTAAAACCTAGTCGAACTGAACCGAATCGTTCGGAGTATACGTCTGAGCCAACTTTGGCCAAAGCAGTTGCATATACCATGAACATAGAAAGTAAGTTTATTATGCCAGATATGTTAGCTATGCCGACGAATAGTATCAAGAAAGGTGTTGTAGAGGCTAGTTATCGTGGTGAACTAGTCGCACGCTTGTTGTTAATTATAGTATATGATTATGCTTGTTGTCAACTTTCTTCAAACTAAAGATATTTTCCTGGCTATTGTTCACAAACTACCATTGTACAATAATTATTGCAAGCCGTGCTGCATGATAAATAATTACAACTAAAATTTCTGATAATAAATTCAATGCTAAGGTACCACTAGGCAAAGGATATGTATTTTGTTCCAATGACTAACACGCCTTTAAGAAAACAATTGTTGAAATTTTTAGAACGGGGTAGCTGTGCTCTGTAAGCGTAATCAATATGGTGTGGACATCACCATACCAGTGATGCTAAATTTTTATGGGAAATGAACATTGATGATTTAATCTATACCCCTTGTACAAGTCAAAATTGGAAAAACACGCCATCAAAATGTCAGATTATAGAGGCATATAGAACGAAACTTTCGCCTGAATTTACAGGAATTACCGTACAACATTTATTACTTTGTCTGGCTCTTTATCTGCAGCTCGGTGATAAGAATTCTACAGCGGAAATTGTGGAAGACGTTGATATTTTCAATCAATTGTGTGATTTGGTTTTTTCAAATCCAAATTTATTAAAACAGATATCTACAGGGAGTTAGATGATATTCCTCTGAAAAACAAAAGATAGGCAGAAACAGGTCACATTATCCAACAAAAACAAATAATTGCCAATCTTATTGGTTTATATTTTAACAATGAAGAATTCCAAAAGCAATCAAAAGAAAATAGCTCACTATCTAAAATGAAATCTTATCAACAATGTGAAAACAAGCCAAAAGAGAGGAAATTAAACCTTATTTAATTTATGCATTTGGATCAATTGCTCCAGTTATTCTGTATGGAAGTTATTAAAATAATTAGAAATAGGAAAAGAAATGCAAGGTCAGATAGTACATGATGTATGATGACTTAAATTTTGAACCCTGAAATTCTTGGTAACTTGCCTGGTTTTTGTTGCGGTATCTCGAACTTGGGATTGCGAATATGGTGTTACAACATTATTAAAAAAGGAATTGATCGTTTCACGAAAAATATTAAGTAATCTTTAACTTTTTAAAATGTTGAAAAATAGAAAAGTTTAAATAATATTTTTTACAATTATATTATGAATATAAATGAACTACTTCCAAAAATGCGAACCAATCTTTTTGATTTTCTAATTCTCTGTTTGTTTTCTAACGATTCTATCACACTGTATTGGAGGTTATTTAAAATTTAATAAATAGAAAATGATCTGCATTTACAATTTGTTTGTTATTAACCTAATATTAATATTAATAATAATAAGTTGCAAAAGGTCATCATTATTAATTCTACGTGTGTGGATTTCCTTAATGCAGTTAAATTATATGACTATTTCGGAAATCAAAAGGCTTGCAAACAAAAAAAATGAAATCATCTGTATTATTTAAAAATTATTTTTCACGAGACTTTACGAAAAAAAAGAATAAAATGTTTTGATAAATCGTTTACTAAAAAATATTTTTTCTCTTAAAAAAAATAAAAATATTTTTTCTCTTAAAAAATAAAAAAATTTTATTTACTAGTTCCTCCTCATCTTTCAACAACAATGAATCACCCTAAATCCGCTTTGGTAAAAGCTTATGCTTTGGAGTAAGTAGTTCACACTCATATTTACGATTCAAATATATTTCATACTCGCAAAATTCATCGAGTCGTAGCTGGATTATGTTTATTATATTTCTAGGTGGATATCTCGGAATAAGTAGTTTTGAGCCTTATCATCGATTATTTTCATTGGAGGATAAATCAATTCAATATACGTATGCTGAAAGAGAAAGGGTTCCGATGCAGTTGGCAGCTGTTAGTAAATCAAAAAATAACTTGATTTTTTGAATATTTTTCCATGATTAAATTTTTACTATACATTTATATATAGTTGATCGTAATGGTGGGCCCATTAGCTACCATGACATTTATAGCTTTAGTAATTAAAAGGAGCATGCACGACTGGCATCATTCTTGTCTAGGTTTTGCCTTATCTATGACAATGACTCTTATTGTTACTGAAATTATCAAAGTATGTTTTCTTGTTAATAATAATTTTATCGCATTCTGTCTTTCAAATTAATTAAATTTAATGTATTTATTTAACTTTGTTTATAGAATACGTCGGGTAGACCTCGACCGGATTTCATTGATAGATGTCAGCCAATACCAGGCGCAGTTGATTCACCTGTATATGGGTTAAGTAATTCATCGATATGTACTCAGCAAGATCCAGTAATTATAAGAGATGGTTTTAAAAGTTTAGTATCCGGACATGCATCTAGTAAGTGTATGATTGATTTATGCACACACCCATCCATACGTTTAAATGTTCAAATATATTTAAAAATTCAAATATATCATTTATTTATGACAGCTTCATTTGCTGGTATGGGTTATCTTAGCCTATACCTTGCTGGAAAATTACATGTATTTGATAGAAAAGGCTACACGTACAAAAGCTTTACTGTGGTTACTCCCTTGATCATTGCTGTATTTATTTGTATTTCAAGAACTCAAGATTATCGTCATCATTGGCAAGATGTGCTTGCAGGAAGTGCTCTTGGTAATGATATTATTTAACGAGTATTCATTTATATTTATTAAAAAAGAAAATGATTTTCATTAAATAAATTTTTTTTGAATTCTAGGTTTTGTATTAGCAATATTTTCTTATTATCAATACTATCCCAACATTCACTCGCCAGTTTGTGATAAACCATATTCTGTCAGAATAAAGAAAGAACTACATGTTCGTTCTGCAGAATTTCAATTTACAGATGGTTCTAATTTCATAGTAAAAATTACGAGGGAGGATGGTAATCTTCTATATCAAGATAATAGAGTTCTTCTGAATGATAATGTTGATTCCTTGGACAGTATTAGCAAAGTTTCTAGTATTAGTAATGTTTAAAAATTTTATTATTATAAAAAAGTAAAACAGAAATACACCATGTTGTATATAATTATGATTATTTTGTGCTTTATAATAAATTTTATATGATACGACCTTTAGAATATTTTCCCTTGAGCTATTTCACAGTTTATTTCTTGCCATTCATTGATATTTCATTTATTCTAAAAAAAAATAATCAATCAATATTTGAATATAATATGCACACAAAAACCAGTATAGTAATATTTCCAATAACAAAAAAATATTATTTTAACATTAAATAACTCCTACATGTAAATATTCATAAAAGCAAACATTGGGCCTGAAACCGGTAGTTTATCCTATATATCCTTACGGTTATTATTAATAAGAATATTGTAAAGATTTCTAACAAAATTCCTCTTTTTTAAAATGATATATACAATACAGTTCACTCTATAATAAATAACGGATCTTTCTATACGAGATATTGCTTTATAACGGACCGAGAATTTAAATCTCATATTACTGCTTATAACTAATTCTCTCTAAAATGGATGTTTTTTTCGTAAGCCAAATAGTCCGTTGTAGAAAGAGTGAATTGTATTTGAGAATTTGACTGATTCTAAAACTAGAGCTTATTATTATTCTTATTGCTATTATTTAAATTGTTAATAATAATGTAAAAATTACAAGGTTTCTAACGAAATTACACTTTTAAAGCTCTCATTTACTTTTTGAAGCCTTGGTGATTATTCCAAGCTCTTTTGGTAATTATTAAAGTCTTTTTACAGAATTTTTTTTTTTTGCAAATTACATGACGAAATATATATATATAATAAAATTTCCATCTATGAAAGTTTGACTTGTAAGAAGCAAACAGAACATTACATAATTGCTTCGGATAGAAGAGCAGCAATAGAATGAGAATGTGATGGCAATGGTAATATTATAATAATATTATTTTCAAATTTTCTTCTGCTACATGAAATATTTTTTCATTGTAAAACGAGATACGCAAAGAAAAATTATATATATATATATATATATATATATATATTAACAAATTTAGGTTCAAGGGAAATGAACTTAAACTTCCTAACCAATGTTTTAGAAGAAGGTATATGGTAAGTTTATTTTTATATATAAATTATATATTGGTAGATTAGCCGATGATGATAAAATATTTGAATGGTTTTAAGTGGCACTGCCTCGTTTTGAGGCCTTTATGGAAATATTGATCTATATAATTTATTTGAAAGGGAGGCTTTTTTGATATATTGCCCTCTATATGACTTGTAATATATCACTTCAAACTTTGTGACTATTTAATAGCTATTGATCTATAGAAATGTTTAAGAGCAAAAAACTCCAATTTCCATCGAATTTGACTATTTGTTTTTTGAATTCAATTAAGGTTTGATGAAACAAGATAATTTAATTAATCAAACATTTCTTCTATTGCTATTACTATATTTAAAATCCAACCGAAATTCCATCGGAAAAGCATTTTATTTGGCCAATTAATAATGATAAATGTAAGGGTTTAATTGAAGAATGTTGTGCTGAAAAAGATGTTTTATTTTATTGTTACATATCTCCGTTTGGTAATGGTGATGTCAGTAATGATACCGGTGATAGTGGTGTGTGTGATGATTGCTTTTTGCAAGTTTATATCAGAGAAAAAAAGTTACATTTTTTCTTTTTTTTTTTTACAAGAAAATCAAACAATGAAGATTTGTAATCTACCTTCACAAGAAATTAATAATAAGAAACCTTTGTACAAGTAAGGTGGCATATGACCATCATTAAAGACATGCTTGGAATTATTTTTATTAGCATGGTGGAATTTCTCTTTATCACATAATAAAAATGAGTTTTACAATTGCGAATTTCTTGATTTTGTATTACAATATAAAAAATTATTCTTTCGTATAAAGTTCACTCTCTCTATAACGGGCCGCCTGATTTGGCAAAAAAAGGCCGTTATAGAGAGTTTACAGATCATAGTCATGTGATAAATTATAATGTGATACAATATAAAGATTTTATTTTATACGATAAAATATATTTAAAAAACAAATGAAATAAATGAAATAACTGAAATAAAATGAAATAAATGAAATAAATGAAAATAAACTATTTATAATTTGCATACTTATTCAGTGTGGATAGTTGTTGTGAGTTAAAATCAATTTTTTTAATTTTTCTTTTAAGACTTTTCAATAATTTAAAATCGTCCTCATTTAATTCTGATTGTTGGTCAATGTAAATTTCTGTTTTTATTGCTGACAAGGCTTATTTTATTTATAACAGGTGGAAGTTCTTTGATTATTTCTTCCTGGCTTTCATTTTCCTCTGGTGGATTAATTATTGTAACTATATCATTTAGATTTATTTCATCACTTACATTAGATCAATTTCAATGTATTCAGACGCAGATATAGGATTAGTGAGTGCAAGTTCATCAATCAAATTTTGCAAATCATTGAGCTCTCTTACATTCAATGAATTTAAAATTGATGACATATTTTCAATTTTGTTGTAATTAATATCATAATCAGGTAAAATCCCAGTTTTTTTTCCAGCAGTTAACTATAGTTTGACTGGTAACTTTTTACCAAGCTTTTGCTGTAAATTTAATTGCATGTTTAATTGAAATTTATTCATATTCTTGACCATTCTCTCTTCTTCATAATCACTAAATTTTTTTTT